TCGGGCTAGCGGCTGACGGTGGGACGCGTCCGCGGCTACTTGCGGCGAGGCAAGCAGCTGAACCCAGGGAGAGTCAAGAAGGGAAGAGGGAGCGGCTGCGGAACGGCCAGAGAGCTCTCGGTCTCAGACCGGGGGTCGATCTTCAAGCGGCGACAGCTGGCAGCGCGCGCCAAACGCACGCCGACGCCCTCCGCCGGGCACTTGCCCGGGAAGAGGAATCTCACAAAAAGTGTACTCGGGAGCGGCAAAGAGGGGGGTGTCCAAGAAGGGTGTGTGCAAATCATGACCGGCGGCATGTGCGCGGCCCAGCGGGGGGGCCAGGGACGTAATGAAATAAGAAGAGGCGCCACGAAACCTGGGGAAAAATATCATGGCCCCCGCCATGATATCCACCCCCCCCTAGTCATCACCTCCCTCTTTTCCGCCCCCGAGGTACGCTCCCCCCCCCCCGGACCTCTCCCGGGGCGCGCTGCGACCGGGGCGTCGAGGCCACTCCCGCGGTGGCGATGAGGGCTCCCCAGGGGCGAGAACGGGACAGGCGCAGCGGCACGCCGCACGCCTGCCCCCTCTGCCTGCCGGGCCCGGCCGAGGGCGCGCGCCCGGCAGCGCGCCCTCGGCCGGCAGAGGCTCGCGCCCCCCGCCCCGGCGCGCCGCGCCTCCGCGCGAGCTGCTCCCGCGCCCGCGGCCCCTCGCCGAGGCCGGGGCCCCCCCCTGCGCGCCGCCTGCGCGCGAGCTGCACGCGCGCCCTCCCCGAGAGGGCCACGTGCCCGCACGCTCCGACGCGCCTCCGCGAGGCACACATCTGCGCGGCCTCCCGCGCGGCAGCCTGCGACCCAACACTTGCGTCGAATGTCCTCGTCGGCTCTGCGTCGGGCTCGCGCCGGACTCGCGTCGGAACGTCGACGCGCGAACGTCGCCCCGGATCCTTTGGTTCGCGCCGCCGCCCGCGCACCCGGCGGCGCGCTGCCGCCGCGCTGCCGCCACCGCCATCTCGAGGTCCGCGTCGCCCTCGGCGCGCACCCAGGCCCTCCAACTCGGCCCTGCGGCGGCCCCCGCACCGCACGGCCTGCGCCACGGTGCCCGCGCCGCCCGGGCCCGGCCCGCGGCGCCCCTGCACCGCGGAGGACAGACCGGGCACCCGCAGCGCCCCGCGGAGCTGCCGCGCGCGCCGCTCACCTCGCGGCCGCCGCCCCCCGGCATTGCCCTGCAGGCCCCAAGGTATTCCACAGCGGCATTGCCCTGCATCGGCAACCTTTCGGTGGCAACGCATGGGAGCCTGCAATACCAGCCTGCCGTCGTTTGCGAATCAGCGCTCATCGACGCTAACCGACGCTAGATCGACGTAGATCGACGCTGCACAGGCGCTTTCTCACCGATTGCCAGACGCTAGGGCACGCTAGTGCACGCTAACAACGGAATTGCGAAGAAATGCTAGGCTCCCAAATTTTGAAAATCACCGAACAACCTGGGTGGTCGCGCCGTCCTCCACCCTGCCGCCGCCGAGCAGGCCCAGGCCCACGTCCAGCTGGCACTGAGCGCCCAATGGTGGCGCATGGAGCCGTCACACCCGACGCCTGCCGAACGCGTGGACCCGCGCGCAGCCGGGCCCTGCATCGGGAACCTCGGAGTCCCGGCGTCCTGCCGCCCTCGAGCCCGCCCAGGCCCATGGGCCCCCCCCCCGGGCAGAGCAGCTCCGCCCGGCAGAAACGACGCCCGGCGCAGCCGGGAGGCGCAGGCGCGCTGCGGCCCTCGCCAGGGCTCAGCGCAGGCGCGGCGCAGCGCGCCGGGCCCCCGCGGCACCGGCCCACGAGCTGCTGGCACTGGGCGCCCAGGCGGCCCGACGACTCCTCGAGCGCGACGTGCCTGGAGCGCCCGGAAGCGCGCCCAGCCCTCGGCACCGCGTGGCCAACGTCCTCGGCCAGGGCGACGCGCGCCCCGCCCGCTGAAGGACAGGCTCAGCTCCTGAACCATTGATGCCCGCGTGCGGGAACTCCGTGCTCATCTGGCCGCCGCTGCCTGCGACTGCAGCTGACGGAGCGGCACCCTCAGAACCGCAAAAACTTCGGACAGCCCCCCCCAACCAAAAGGACGAGCATGATGTCATGATGCGACTGGTTCAAGATACATGTCAGGAATTCCGGGGCACCTAGCGGCCCTTGTTTCTGCAGCACGTGTGGAAGATTTGAACACATACTAAATCTTGGAAATCCTGACGCGCATTACTGTCACACCTCGTGCCCCTGTGAAGCACTCGCCCTCAGAGTGAGTGAGTCTGCGACGAGAACCTGCTCGCTGACCCTGTCGCGCTGCATCGGCGCAGCTGGATCCGCAGCAGCACACGCCCTCTGCGTGACGCCCTGGGCGCCAAGAGCTCCCGAGCCACGCGCGAGCCTGATCCTGCCAGCCGCCCACTGCCCGCGAAGGCAAACGCGACGACGAAGCGGCCGACCGCCCCCCGCCTGCCTACGCCCCGCCGCCTGCAGCTCGCGCCTCCTGCGGCACCCGATGGCCATCCGCACCGCCGCCCGGGACGCCAAGCTGGGGAAACCGAGAGGGACTCCGAGTTTCATGATAAGCGTCGGGGGGGCGTCACCCCCGCCGACAGCCCCACATCGACCCCCGTCGCGGGCAGCCACCGCGCGCCGAAGGCGCTCCGACGCCCGTCGCGGCGCCACGACGAGGCGAGGCTGACCCCCGTCGGGGAATTACCCCGACACGCTTATTAAGAAACCCAGAGTACCCGTACCGATACTCCCCGGACCTCTCCCCGGGTGCGCTCTGACCAGAATCTCGAGGCGAATCCAGCGGTGGCGACGAGGGCCTCCCAGGAGGCCCCAAGGGAAGGGGAAAAACGAGGGAAGGGTCGCGGTATGGGTACCTCTTCCTCCTCTGACACACGCCCTTCGGCCAGGACCGACACCGGCTCGACAGCCCCACCCCGCGCCCGCGCCCGCTCTCCTCGGCACGCCGCCGAAGCCTCGCGAACTCGCCGAGTCGAGGCGGGTCACGCCGCCACCCGCGCGGTCGCTCATCGACCGTCCTGCCTGGCCCGACTCTCCCAACGCGCCCCGGGCCCGTGCCCGTGGAACCGCGGCCTCCGCCTGCGGGCGCCGTGCCGAACGTCCCAGCGCCCTCTGCGACGCCGATGCCGATGACGGCATCGACCAGACGGCGATGGCAACGACGTCGACGGCGGCGGCAAAACGACGCCAGCGGCGGCCGCCTCCGATCGCGACGACGACGTCGACGGCAGCAGCGCGGAGGCGGCGGCGGCGCCGCCGCCGCTGATCACGACGACGACGACGGCGATGACGACAACGACGACGACGACGACGACGACGACGACGACGACAACGACGACGACGACGACGACGGCGGCGCCGGCGGCGACGACGGCGGCGGCGGCGGCAGTGGCGGCGGCAGCGCAGCGGCAGCGGCCGCAACGCCGCGGGCGCCCTGCCAAACGCGCCCGCGCCGACACACTCCAGTAGCTCGTAGCCGTTCACCACGCGGCCGCCGCCAGGCGGCGCCGCGTCATTGTCGGAACTGCCTTCGACAACCACGACGACGACGAAGACCAAACAGACGACGACGGCGGCGAGGAAACACGGCCAGTGCTACTCCCGCCTCGTCCCTTCTCCGACCACCTCCGCCACCGCCGTCGCCCCCGTCGGCGGCGTCGTCGTGATCGTGGTGGTCGTCGTCGTCCCTCATGCTCGATCCCCTGGCATTGACAGCGGGGCCGTGGATCCTGCGTGCCGACTGCTGCTGCTGCTGTTGCTGCTGTTGCTGCTGCTGCTGCTGCTGCTCCTCCATCCTCCCTCTCGTCCTCCTCCTCCTCCTCCTCCTCCTCCTCCTCCTCCTCCTCCTCCTCCTCATCATCATCATCATCATCATCATCATCATCATCATCATCATCATCATCATCATCATCATCATCATCATCATCATCATCATCATCATCATCATCATCATCATCATCATCATCATCATCATCATCATCATCATCATCATCATCATCATAATCATCCTCCTCCTCCCTCCGCCTTCTCCTCCTCCTCCTCCTCATCCTCATCATCATCATCATCATCATCTCATCATCATCATCATCATCATCATCCTCATCCTCATCATCATCATCATCATCATCATCATCATCATCATCATCATCATCATCATCATCATCATCATCATCATCATCATCATTATCATCCTCATCATCATCCTCATCCTCCTCCTCCTCATCATCATCATGATCATCCTCATCCTCATCACCATCATCATCATCATCATCATCATCATCATCATCATCATCATCATCATCATCACCATCACCATCATCATCACCATCACCATCATCAGAACCAGCATCATCACCATCCTCCTCCTCCTCCCATCTATGCTCCTCCAGCACGCATTCTGGACGAGGGGCGGCGGGGGGAAGCATGGGCAAGGGGGGGAAAGGTGAGGAGGGGGGCCGTCAGAGCAGGCGAGGTCGAAATAGGGGGAGAAGGCAGCAAATAAGAGAGAGCGAGGAGACAAAGAAACCAAGCATGTCACACACACACATAAATATATACATGTATCTATATATATATACACCTATATACCTGTAGGTCCCAGCACGCACCGTGAACCCCCTTTTCTCTTGGAAGATGCCAAGAGGAAAGGGGGACAGAAGGCGCGCGCTGCAACCGTAAAGGAAGAAGTGTGGCTGAAAGTTTGGTTGTGTGATGGGGAAGACAGGTGTGGAGTATCGGGTGGAGTGTTGGGGACGGAGGGTGTGGAGTACCAGATGTTGTGTAGGGGACGGAGGGAGTGGAGTACAAGGTTAGTTTCAAGTTTAGCTTGGGGAGGGAGCCTGTTGAGTATCGGGTGGTGTGTTGGAGACGGAGGGTGTTGAGTACTGGATGGTGTGTTGGAGACGGGGGGAGTTGAGTAGAAGAATATGTTCAAGTTCAGCTTGGGGAAGCCTGTTGACTATCGGGTGGTGTGTTGGAGACGAGAGGTGTTGAGTAGAATGTTATGTTCAAGTTCAGCTTGGGAAGGGAGCCTGTGGAGTATCGCGTGGTGCGTTGGAGACGGAAGGTGTTGAGTAATGGATGGTGTGTTGGAGACGGAGGGAGTTGAGTAGAAGGTTATGTTCAAGTTCAGATTGGGGAGGGAGCCTGTTGAGTATCGGGTGGTGTGTTGGAGACGGAGGGGGTTGAGTACTGGATGGTGTGTTGAGGACGGATGGAGTTGAGCAGAAGGTTATTCTCAAGTTCAGCTTGGGGAGGGAGTCTGTCGAGTATCGGGCGGTGTGTTGGAGTCGGAGGGTGGTGAGTACTGGATGGTGTGTTGGAGATGAGAGGTGTTGAGTACAAGGGTATGTTCAAGTTCAGAGCCTGTTGAGTACTGGATGGTGTAGGAAACGGGAGTTGAGTAGAAAAGGTAGTTTCAAGTTCAGCTTGGGGAACGAGCCTCTTGAGTATCGGGTGGTGTGTTGGAGACGGAGGGTGTTGAGTACTGGATGGTGTGTTGGAGACGGAGGGAGTTGAGTAGAAGGTGATTGTCAAGTTCAAAATGAGTTGAGACAGTATTCCAAGAATGAGTCCAAAATGAAATCCGAAAATCGTGGAAATCATACACACATATAATCTGGAGAAAGGGGGGTTCTTGGTGCGTGCGGAGGGCTACCTATACGGCGCCCTGCGGGCGACCAGGAGATCGGGAAGGGGCATTGAGATCAAATGCCCACCCTGACTGACCTCCAGCCTGTCACCTTGATCTAATCTCTCTATTTCTCTCTCTCTCTCGCAGTCTGCCGCGATCGCGCCCAGGCGCCAGCAGAAATGATTCGATGAATTGGATTGGGTGGATTGAATTGGATGGGGTAAGATGGATTGGATAAGATAAGATGGGTTGAACTGGAAGAGACGGATGAGATAAGATGGATTGGATTGGCCTCCCGCAGGCGCAGAAACGAATAAATTGATGGATTGGGTTGAATGGATTGGATTGGGTGGAATAAGATAAGATGGGGCAAGACGGGTTGGATAAGATGAGATGGATTGTATTGGACAATACGCATTGGATAAGATAAGCTTCATTTGATGAGAAAGCCCGCCGCAGGCGCAGAAACAAATGAATTGATGGATTGGGTTGGGTGGATTGTATTGGATGGGATAAGGTGCATTGGATAAGATGGGTTGGATTGGATGAAATGGATTGGATAAGATAAGATGGATTGGGTTGGCCCGCCGAAGGCGCAGAAACAAATGAATTGATGGAGTGGGATGGGTGGATTGAATTGGGTGGGATAAATTAGATGGGACAAGATGGGTTGGATAAGATAAAATGGATTGGCTTGGACAAGATGGATTGGATAAGATAAGAAACGCTGGATTGGATCGGGCAGCCCGCCGCAGGCGCCGAAACAAATTAATTATGAAATTAGCGACATGCGTTAGCGCCGGGACGCCCGGGACACCCGGGACACCCAGGACACCGCCAGGCCCAACCAGCCACTGGCGGACGGGCACCCCGACTTTCGCTCCCACCCGGGACACTGGGGACACCGCCCGGCCCAACCAGCCACCGGCGGACGGGCACCCAGACTTTCGCTCCTACTCCGGCCTAGCTACAGGGGGATCACGCGCAGCTTAAACCGAAACTGATTTCCCGGTGGGGGGTCTCCGTTTCACTGCGATCTCACCCCCCAACCTTCCATATATGCATATATATATATATATACACACAAATACATATGCACACGTAAGAGAGAGTGTGAGAGAGAGAGAGAGAGACAGAACATGTGTGTGTGTGTGTGTCAGAGTGTGGGTTTGCTGGTAAGGTGTCTGTCATGCCTCTAGGGGGCGCTCGTCTCCTCACGCCCACTGACGTGCATCGCCCCCCCCCCGGGAGACTCCCTGGGCGCCCCGACGCCTCCGAGGCTCTCCAAGGCATCGAACAGTGTCCAAGGCGTCCCGGAACGCAACCTCGGCCACCAGGATGGCCCAATATACTGCCTCAAGAGGCACCCAGCAGACCCCGCCCAAGACACCCTAAGAGATTTCATAGACAGAAAGACCCGGCCCGTAGCCACCCCCAGAAGGCAAGTCAATCAGAGACCTGAAAACATTCCTGCTGATGTGTTTACCATTGTGGCTTCTGGATATTCGGCTCAAGACGATTCCGGGAAGGCCAGTCGAAGGAGCCCAAATGGGACCAACGTCGCACGAGGGCCCCAACAAGACCCCCACACAGCACAGAACAGCCTCAAGGGGGCCCCGATACGGACCAAGAGCGGCCCTAGACAGCTCAAGAGGGGTCCCAGATGGCCCCACGACGCCCCCAAGACAAGCCCAAGCGGCCGAGAGAGAACCCAAGACGGCCGAGAGCAGTCCAAGACAGCAAAAAGACATCCTCACAAGAGCCCAAGACAAGCTCAAGACAACCCAGGTAGGTCTCATACGGGCCCCTCAAGGAGTACGGACGATAAGTGTCACGTGTGAGGGCTTTCTGGGCAGTGCTCGGACCGTCACCAGAGTGCTGAGGTGGCACGGCGGCGGAACTTGCTGCTTTCCGCTGGATAAGGTGAGAGGGGTTTAAGAATACATGGATGGGGCTAGCAAAAAGCAGCGGGGGACATGGTAGACAGGCACCGGTGAACAAGGGCAGAGGGAAACAGGGTGCAGGGAGGAGAGAGGAGGTTGAAGAAGGTAGACAGAAGGAGAGAATGGCTCTGGCCCACGTATCGTCGTCACCCACACCGTCGTCGTCCACGTCCTCGTCGCCGTGGTGGCGGTGGCCGTCCTCGTCGCCACCCCCGTCGCTCTCGTCTTCCTCCTTCTCCTCTTTGGACACCCGAAATGGGTACCGAAAGAATGGGCAACATGCCCAACAACAAATGTTGTCCCGAACCAACAGCGGCCGCTGTTGGGCAGGCGGCCTTCTGTCTCAAATGGACACAGGCCGCGGCGGCGCGGACAGCGAGTCCTGTTCAAAATGAACAGGAACTGCTGTTGGGCATCGTGCCCATTCTTTCGGTACCCATGTCGGGCGTCCAGATCCTCATCCTCCCCCTCCCTCTCCCCCTCCTCCTTCCCCTCCTCCTCCTCCGAGGCCGAGGGCGAGTCCACGCCCGCGCCCGCGCGCCCGACGCCACCCCCTGACGCCCACGAGCGGCGCGGCGACGGCGCGGAGCTCCTCCCCTCACCCCCCTTCTCTGGGCAGCCCCGTCCCTCCAGAAGGGGGGGGGGCAGGAGGGAGAGGAGGAGAAGGAGGAGAAGGAGGAGGGGGAGGAGCAGGAGGAGGAGGAGGAGGCCAGGAGAAAGGGGAGGACGAGGAGGGTCTCCTCTCCTCCTCCTCCTCCTCCTCCTTCTCTCTCCTCCTCCTCCTCCTCCGCCTCCTCCTCCTCCCCCTCCTCCTCCTCCTCCCCCTCCTCCTCCTCCGCCTCCACCTCCATACGGTCGCTCGCGGGGCCGTCGCTCCTCGCACGAGAGAGACAGGGGGCGCCCGCGCGCCCCCCCCTTCGCCGCCCCGCCGGGAGGGGGCGCGCTGGCCCGCGCCGCCGCGCCGGGCGCGCCCTGTCCGCCCTCGCGCGCTCCTGCTGGGGGGGGGGGGCGGGATGGGGCAGCGAGGAGACGGAAAACCAGCAGGAGGACGACAGACAGCGAAGGAGGAAGAGAAGGAGGAAGAGGAGGAGGGAGGAGGAAGAGGAGAGGGAGAAGGAGGAGCGACCCGATCGCCCCACCTGCGAGGCCCAAGCCTCGGGATGGGACTGGCCAGCACCACTCCTCAAATCTCAAGCTTGGCACCTTTGTTTCGCGACAGACAGCAGACTCCACCATTCACTCCATTGCAATTCCACGTCTCGGCACTACGCTCATGACAAAATGTATGCACTCACTGGTATTCACCGAAAGCAGCACAGCTGGTAGCAGAAGTCGTTCACCTACGTCTGCATCCACGGCAGTACGCGGCGCAGACGCCCAGCTACGCAGCACAACAAACGGCGAGATCACCGACAACAGCTATGCTATGCTGTAGGTCTCCACAGGGCTTTCTCACCCACGCATGCACGTAATCGAGTGGGTCCCTACGGGGCAGTCTCACCCACAGGAGATGGCAGTGGACCCCCACGGGGCTTTCGCACCCACAAGCATGTCATGCGACATGAGGGTCTCTACCAACCTCACACTTTGACTCTCTCCCGGCTCATCTTCTTGCATCCCCGCTGCCCCCACCCCTCGCCTTTCCACGCAAAACTCCCACAATCCATTCTCATGTGGCGGCGAAACGGGGCACGGTCATTCGGTGGGGGGGGGAGGGGGCAGAGTGAGTGGAAAGGCCGCCATGGCGAAGGCCAGGGCGGCCGTGGCTACATCACAGCAGGCCACCTGGACATCGCTCGGGTTGACTCGCGTGGCGCACAGCGTACCTTCAGCCCACATCTCCTCCCAAACCTCCTCGCTCGCCAGCATCACTCAAGCATGCCAACCTGTGCTACGACCCGCCAGCAACCGCTGCACAGTGGAGGGGGCCGGGTGGACATTGATATCGCAGGCTGGGGACGGGCACACACACCAACAGAGCCGCGCCACGGCCACGGTAGTGCAGAAACCTCCCCCATGCACGGTGAAAATCCCCGTGCGGCCCCCACCTCCAGGGTCTGGGTACCCCGCTCCTGCTTGTCAGGGGAGGAGGAGGAGGAGGAGGAGGAGGAGGAGGAGGAGGAGGAGGAGGAGGAGGAGGAGGAGGAGGAGGAGGATGGGGGGGGGACGCTTCAGGGGATCTCCCATGTGCAGGGGGCGCGGCCTTTCTGCCTTCCTTCCTGGCGAGAGTGGCCAGCCACAGGCTCTGGGCGAGCGCGACACCCCACCACCACCGTGCAGGGCGCAAACCTCCAACGCTCGATGGACCCCCCCCCTGGCGGCCCCGAGGCCAACGGTCTTGGAAATCCTACGCCCACTTGCAGTTGAGGGGTACCTTCGCTGGCCTCGGGGACGCCTGCGGGGGATTCCCATGAGCAGATGTGGAGGCCCTTGCGCGTTCTGTTTTGACGTGCGTGGGCCGGGGACGCCACCGCCTACTGTCGCCGCCGCGTCTGCTCGCCTCCATCACTCGTTTCGATCACGTGCCGCCGCTTTACCACCTACCCGGTTCTTTCCGCAGGCAGCCAGTCGCCTAGCTGCCGAGCCATTTCACGCCCGTCTCACACCCCCACTCCCCAAGGGGGAGTAGTATTCATATTGAGTAATTGTGGAGGGGGGAGGAGGAGGGGGGGGGGGAGGAGGGAAAGGGGAGGAGGGGGGAGGAGGAGGAGGAGGAGGAGGAGGAGGAGGAGGAGGAGGAGGAGGAGGAGGAGGAGGAGGAGGAGGAGGAGGAGGAGGAGGAGGAGGGGGAGGCACCTCAAAGGAGGGGGCCCCTGGGCGCTCCCAGGGCTCTGGTCCAAGAGGCCAGAGGGCCCCCAAGGGAGACGACCCCGCCTCAGCCAGAACAACAGCCAGGCACAACAGGCCGCCGCTCGTTCTGCATAGCTGCCACCGCTGCCACACCAGCCACCTCTTCTAATCTCTCCCCCTTGAGGTCATGATCTTGTCGTCCCCCCTCTCTCCTTCCTTCTCCCCACGTCGGCGCATGTCTGCCATCCTCTCCTACCATTATCTCGTAGCCGCAGAGGGACACATTAGTGACCTGGCCGTTAGTTTGATCACCCCCCCCCCCCAGGGCCGACCAGCCCTTGGGGGGGAGGGCAGCACCAGCAGGGACCTCCTGCCACCAGGAACCGGGAACCAGGAGGAGCGGCATAAGCCAGCCTGGCGGAGGAGGCTGGGATGGGAGGGAGGGGTGGAGGAACGGGAGGAGATGTAGAAACGAGGGAGCGGAGGGAGGGGGAAGAGGAGGGGGGAGCAGAAAAGGTAGACGGCGTAGGGGACGGAGAAAGAGAGAGAGAGAGAGAGAGAGAAAGTAAGGAAGGAGACACGGAGAGAGAGTGAGAGAGGGAGACAGAAAACACGAGGAGACAAGGAAATAACGATAACAAATTACACAAACGAGAAAGAGAGAGAGAGAGAGAAAGACACAAACAAGTCTAGATGCATCTGCCAAAATAGATACATGTGTATGTAGGTATACGTATACTAGAACCACGCGCGCGCTTCGCGCGCGCTTAGGTTCTAGCTAGGAGGCGAGCTTGAGTCAACGAAAGTCGCAGGGAAGGGGGCAGGGGGAAGAAGGCCAGAGAGCGCTGAAGGACACAAATACTGGAACACTCTTGTGATTTTGTGGGGGGCCTCGTCCGGCCGCTCGCTGGGAGTTTGACGTAGCTTCTCGGGAGCCTCTGAACCTGTCGGGGGCCTCCTGGAAGCAGGTTCGAAGCATTTTGGGAGCCGATTTGGGGCTTCTCGGGGCCTCCTTTGGGCCTCTTGGGGGTGTCCTGGGGCCTCTTGAGGGGCCTCCTTGGGGCCTCCTGGCGGCCTCTTGGGGCGGAAGGCTCGAGCTTGCGGTTCGTGGTCCCCCTCTGGGCCCCCTCTTGGGCCCGTCTTGGGGCCCTCTTGGGCCATCTTGGGCGCCTCTTGGGCCGTCTTGGGGCCCTCTTGGGCTATCCTGGGGCCCTCTTGGAAGCTTCTTGGGCCGTCTTGGGGCGGTCTTGGAGGCCTCTTGGGCCGTCTTGGACGCGGTGAAAGCCCAAGATGCGAACATGCGAAAAATACACGTTTTCCCATAGGAATGGCTCGATTTTGGTTTCTTGGACCTCTCTTGGGGTGCCTCTCGGAACGTCTTGGGCTGATTTTGGAAGCCTTTTGGCGCCTCTGGGCGGCGTTTTGGCGCCTCCTGGGATGTGTTGGGCCGGAAGCTCGGAATTCGAGAGTGGCTTTCTCCTTCTGGGACCCCTCTCGAAGTCGTCTTGGGGTTCTCTTGGGCCGTCTTGGGGCCGTCCTGAGCCACTCGTGCGCAGCCTTGGAGCGCTCCCGGAGGCCTCCTAGGCCGTCTTGGAGGCCTCTTGGGCCGTCTTGGACGCGGTGAAAGCCCAAGATGCGAACATGCGAAAAATATACGTTTTCCCATAGGAATGGCACGATTTTTGTTTCTTGGACCTCTCTTGGGGTGCCTCTCGGAACGTCTTGGGGTGCTTTTGGGAGCCTTGTGGCGCCTCTTGGCGGCATTTTGGCGCCTCCTGGAGCCTCTTGGGCCGGAAGCTCGGAATTCGAGGTTGGCTTTCTCCGTCTGGGACCCCTCTCGAACTCGTCTTGGGGCTCTCTTGGGCCGTCTTGGGGCCGTCCTGAGCCACTCGTGCGCAGCCTTGGAGCGCTCCTGGAGGCCTCCTAGGCCGTCTTGGAGGCCTCTTGGGCCGTCTTGGACGCGGTGAAAGCCCAAGATGCGAACATGCGAAAAATATACGTTTTCCCATAGGAATGGCACGATTTTTGCTTCTTGGGCCTCTCTTGGGCTGCCTCTCGGAGCGTCTTGGAGGCTTCTGGGACCGTCTTGGTGTCATGACAGGCGTCTTGGAAGGCATCTGGAGCCATCGGAGCGCGTTCCGAAGCCGCCTGCGAACGATCTTGGACGGCGTCCGGCGGTCCGACGAGCCTCCGGGCCCCCCGGGGCCCACATTTGTGGTCGAGGTCCCGGCCCCGGGCCCCCGGACCCGGTGCGCCGCTATATGTATAATGTCTAGACATGTGTATGCATACGGCTAATGTGAATGTGTGTGTATACGTGTGCAGATGTTTTGTATCAATCCGCCGCCGTGCCCCCTGGCGCATTGAGGCGTGGAAGAAAGCTAAGGTCTGCCTGGTGAGGCTGTTTGAATCCAACAAGGGGCCGCCCCTCCTTCTATCAACAGGCTCTTGCGTGCACCACCACTCCTTTCCGAGACAACGTCCCTCGTGCTCGCTCGAGGATGGTACACTTCCAGCATGACAGCGAATGCACAAGTCCGCTCGAGAGTGGTGCACTCCCTGCATGGCAGCTAATGCCTCACTCCTCATCCCGCGCGCGCCCGCTCAAGGATTGTGCACTTCCCGCATGGCTGCCAACTCCTAGACCCGCATCCCACGCGCACCCGCTCGAGGAGCGTGCTGCTCCCAAGCGCTCCAGATCCTCCCAAGCCACGATCCTTCCGTAAAACCGATGGGTCTTCGTCTTGAGCGTACAAGACGGCCCGTGCAGGCAGGCAACCAAGGACGCCAAGATGGCCCAAGATGCAGGGACGGCCTAAGATGACCCCAGGGCAGCCGAATATTGATTCACGACCTACGGCCCAGTGTGCCTCCAAGGTGGCCACAGGCCCTCAAGAAGGGTCAAAAGAACCCAGCACCATTGATTCCCGAATGGGTTTGGATGATGATCGCATTCTCGCCTTCTCGGGCAGCGGTCGACCCAGCCCGCCCCGCCACGGGCGCCGCGGCGAACCGTAGCGCCCACGGCGGGGCGGCAGGGGAAAGGGTTCCCAGGGCCGCGTTTGTGTGACGGCGAACAGAACTACGTTGTGTCCCCGCCCACAAGAGACCCTCGAGATGGGCCAACAGAAGCCAGCATCATCGACACCCGAGTGTGTCTGGATGCTGATCGCACTCGCGCCTTCTCGGGCTGCCGTCAGCTCACGACGGCCCAGGAGTGCTCGACGGTGGCCCGAGGGGGCATCCCAGGCGGCCCCAAAGGCGGCCCAAAGAGAGCCCCACGTGGGCTCCGAGACGGCCTTTGGCAACCCTTCGACGGGCCAAGACGGCCCCCAAGCACCCACCAAACGGCCAAGAGGGCTCCAAGACGGCCCAGGAAAGCCGCAAGCCGGCGTATGAGGGCCCGAAGACGGCGCAGGAGGGCCCGACGGGACCCCAAGACTGTCTCACGGAAGGCCACCACAGCCCCAAGACGGCTCAAACGAGTTCCATTAACATCACCATCGCCATCATCATCACCATCACCAGCAGCAGCAGCATGATCAGCACGACAGGCGTCATCATCAGCATCAACATCCTCATCTTCATATTCATCGTCATCGTCAGCATCGGCCTCGTCACCATCATCATCATCATCACCATCACCATCACCCGCAGGAGCATCACCATCACCATCAACATCGTCATCATCAATTTCATCATCATCATCATCATCATCATCAGCATCATCATCATCATCGTCACAATCATCATCATGATCATCACCAGCACCATCTTCACCATCGCCATGATTATCATCAACAACAACATCATCAAAACCAACATTACCAGAATCATCATCACCCCCATCAACCTCATCATCACGACCTCCACCACCACCACCACCACCACCACCACCATAACCATCATCATCAGCAACCCCATCACCTGCAGTGTCATCATCATCATCAGCAGCAGCATCGTCATCGTCATCGTCATCGTCATCAGCGTCATCAGCACCACCATCATCACCACAACCGCCACCATCATCATCATCATCATCATCATCATCATCATCATCATCATCATCATCATCATCATAGTCATCATCATCATCATCATCAGCAGCAGCAGTAGCATGAGCAGCACTATCACCATCACCATCATCGGCATTGTCATGAGCATCAGCATCCGCATCATCATTGTTATCAGCACCATAAGCATTCGCACAACAGCGTCATCGCCGTCGAGACCATCAGCATCATCAGCATCAGCATACTCGTCACCAGCGTCATCGTCATCATCACCACTATCATCACCATTATCATCAGCAGCAGCATCATCAGCATCAACATCATCATCACCAACAACATCATCAACATCATCGTCAACATCATCCGCATAATCGGCATCATACATATCACGGCTCTCCCAGGCCTGGAGACACGAGGTGTCACACGTGAAGGCCCCCCGTGTCTCCTTCAGCAACCGCCACCCAGAAAAGCGCATCAGCGACGCAGCGAAGACGCATCGGCGACGTCGGTTTGGAGAAGCTCGGGCTCCACGCCGCCGATGCATTGGCGATGCGGCACGATCCTCCGACCCCCGCTGCTCGGGACCCATCTGGGAGGCCTAGGTTAGTCTGACCCGGAAGACTCGGCGGTGGACAGACCTGCCTTTAGCAAACCAACCTGTAGTGAAAACGGCCTAGGACCGAAACCGACGGACCTGGACCCGCAGAAATGACGGCCGCGACGCCCTCATAAGAAACCGAAAACGGCCAATTCACTAATCGACGTGTCAGGGTAGGAGGCCTACCAACCTCCGAAAGACCGGCCACAAGCTTCACAACATCCCATGACGCTCAGCAACCAGGGCACCAGCGGTCGGGAAGGGACGCCCGCGCCGTCCAATTCGGCGGGCCTGCGCCTGGCCTCGGGGGGGGCCGTCCTCCTCTTCCCCCTCCTCCTCCTCCTCCTCCTCCTCCTCCTCCTCCTCCTCCTCCTCCTCCTCCTCCTCCTCCTCCTCCTCCCTCGTCCTCCTCCTCCTCTCCTCCTCCTCCTCCTCCTTCCTCCTCCTCCTCTTCATCATCATATTCCTCCTCCTCCTCCTCCTTCCTCCTCCTCCTCCTCCTCCTCCTCCTCCTCCTCCTCCTCCTCCTCCTCCTCCTCCTTCCCCTTCCCTCCTTTTCCTCCTCATCCTCGTCCTCCTCCCCCTCCTCCCCCTCCTCCTGCGCCATCCTGCCGGGTCGAGACCCGTCTCCTGCACGGGGCGGCGAAACGGGCCTGCGCATCCACTGCCCCTGGGGCCAGGGTGGGCCCGGGGAGGCGCGGCGGACGAGCTCCAGCGAGGGGGGGCGAAGGGTCCTGCACCACCCTTGGGAACGTGGCCGGAGTGTGGGTCCGTGGCGCGGATAGTATTGGTGTTGTTCGCAATTGTTGCCGTAGTCTCCCCCGCGACCCATTCGCGACCCGCTCGCGACCCACCTGCGGCCCACTCCGCGCCCGCCCGCACCACTCTTGTCCGCAGTTGCGGGGCGCTGCGCGCAAATAGTAATCTTGTCGCCCGACTACATCCTCACCCTGGCCGAAAACTGGTAGGAGGACAAGAGGCGCGGAAACAGCAGATGCATCACCAGTGTACCGTCGAGTGAACCTGAGGTCGCCCCGGCCCAACCGCGGCGGCGCGCAGCCTTTGAATGGCAGCCGACGCATCGGCGATGCATCGGGCACGTCAGCGATGCCTCGACAACGGAAGGATGGCGAAACCCACGCTCCACATCGAGCCGCATCGCCGATTCGTCGCTGATGCGGCGCAACCCTCCGAACCCAACTATTCGGACCCCACCTGGGAGGCCTGGAAGGGCGACGCTCCATCTGGGCCCCGTCCTCCTCGTATCCTTCGGGGCGGGGCGGGGCGCGACAGCGGCAGCCCCAATCGTTCCCCAGACCCCTCCCTGGGGCCTGAGCGCACCACCTTCCCGAGCTGCGCCCAGCTGTGGCGGCCCACCCGAAGGCCAACCACCGTTGCGTCAACCCGTCCTTCTCTGAGTGCTGCTGCTCATGGCGGTCGAGGGTGATCCTGTGGCCATGCACACCTTTCCTGCCCCTCCCACCCGGCAGCGACCTGCTGAAAGCGCGGTGCCCTTTCCCTTGTCGCCCTTGCCCTTGTCGCCGATGCCCTTGCCCTGGCCGCCCTTGCCCGCGCCCTTGCACTTGCCGCCCTTGCCCGTGTCCATGGGCAAAAGGGAGCCCGCGTCGCGCGCGCGCGCAGGGAGAGCCTGAGAATCGAGCCGACCAGTTTACGGACAAGGGAGGAATTGAGATCGCTGCCGGAGCCGCTGCAGGGGTGGCTCATCGAGGAAAGGGTGTCCTCTGGGTGCCTCTTCCTCCTCCTGCATGACCCCTCCTGCTTCTCGGCCACCGCGGGCGCCTACGCAGGCCGCTCATCACCTGCTCCGCCTCCTGCTCCGTCAGGGCGCTCACCGCTCCGACGAACGGAGCGTACGCCTCGCGCCGCGGGCGGGGCGCGGTTGGGCCGCCGCCGCCGCCGCCGTTGTCGTCCTCGTCGTCGGTTCCGCCGTCGTCGTCGGTTTCGTCGCCGCCGTCGTCGGATTCGTCGCCGTCGGTTTCGTCGCCGTCGTCGACGTCGCTTCCGTCGCCGTCGGTTACGACGTCGTCGATTTCGTCGTCGTCGTCGTGGTCGCCGTCGGCGCCAGGCTCGTCGTCGGCGTCTGCGTCGGCGTCTGCGTCGGCGCCGTCGTTGTCGTCACCGCCTGCGGCCTTCGGAAGCCATCGGCGACCCTCGGAAGCCGTTGGCGGCCTTCGCAGGCCTCCAGCAGCCCGCGGAGGCTGTCAGTGGCCCAGGAATCCGCGCGTGCGGCGGCGACGGCGAGAGAGGCAACGGCGGCTGCCGTCCACGGCGATGGACACTCGTTGAGAAACCGCGCCGGCGGTCCCCCCATGAACCCGTTGTTTATTGCCCCCCTGGGCACGTCATGATTCGATCTGGCGCCAACTGGGAATTGGCCAGTCCTAGAGGCATTCCTGGACGTCGCCGGCGCGAATCGTTAGGTGACCGGTCTCTCGGCGAAGAAGGCTCGCTCCCTGGGGAAATGGCCCGCTCTCTGGGCG